GCTTTGAAGCTGAGTATCAAGCACATGTGTTTTTTATAAGATAAGGAAGGAACTTGCATCCTGCATGTGGATTAAACTATCCTTCGTTAAATGCATCACATGACGAAACCATAGGCCAGCTGTTAACACTCAGATGCATGACTTCTTTGGATTCATGATGTGAATTTTGTGTTAAGAGTTGCATGTGTTGTGGTGTCCATGCATTTGCTTACTAGTTCCTTTCTTGTCCTTTAGGTGCCATGCAGTCGGACCTGCTTGCTGAAGTTACTGACGGATCATCCAATGTTAGGGAGGTTTGGAAATTCTCATTCAAGTAGACAAGCATGGCCTCTGTGATTGCTGTATCAGATACAAAACGTGTACCGGGCTCCATATTGGTAGAGTGTGAGCCTTGGTTTAGCCGTATCATGGTGTTTTAATGCACTGTTAGTTCCAAGTTGATTGTTCATGAACTCTTGAGAAGTCATACAAGTACTTGAGTCCTATCTCTGAATTACTGACTCTTAAAACCGGTGTACCCTTTCCTCTGAGATGTGAATCCTCCATGATGGCCCGCTTGTACCATCTCACAACTTTGACAAAAGCAGCACTTTTTATTGCCCCCATACTTTACCTCCTTTGTCCAGACGCCATGATACACACCATGCTCGCTTTCCTGGCAACCAGAGGAAATACTCCAACGTACCCCCACAAGATAATTTTGGGAGAGGTGTGGGTGAGGAAGAGGGGGCATGGATGTGAGAGGGTGGCTAGGCCCATGTGGCACGAGGAATCAAACATTAGGGCGACCTTTGTCCTCTTGTTTCATGTGTCAATGTTTCTAATTATCGGCGCCGTGCCACTTTGGTCGGGGTCACTCCATGTGCAAGCTACTGCTCTATTGTCCTCCCTCAAGATGATCTGCATCTTCCTTGCTTGTAGAGTCTACTATATCTTGGCCTTGCAGGTTGCAGCCTTTCCCCTTGAGCTGCAATGATGGGGCTGCAGGACACGGGCAGCGGCCGGAGGGGCAGCTTCTTCCAGTACCAGCGGCTGGAATGCCGGGACGACGGGGCCACCCCGCGGCCCAGGCAGCGGCGGTGGCTGCCGTCTCTGACGACTGGTAAGGCGGCCTGCTCCTGCTTCTTCCATCTCAAGAAGCTCAGGTGGAGCAGGATCACTTCGGTCCTCCTGCCGAGGAAGGTCTCCGAGCCCTCCTCCTCCAAGATCCGCCATGCAAGCGTGGCGCACGCTGAGGATGCCTGCCCGAGCATCGTCTTCCTGTCGCAGTGGGGGCTGCCGGTGCTCTCTGGCCCGTCGGTGGCCGGTAACAGGGGCAAGCACTCCCGTGGGAAGGGCTACTGAGAGGCAGCAGCAGAGGCTTCTGCACATTTTCCAGGTGTCGTCTCTGTTCCTAGCGACATATGCGTGTGTATGATGTGGTATATATCTAGTTGATCCTGTAAATCGGATTGTGTTCGTTGCTCTGTGCCGGGGTAGATCTGGGATCGGGTGTACCCTGCTGATCGATCGTGTCTGTGCGAAAAAATGTAGGTCGATTTTAAGTTGATGCCAGGCATAAGTACAAGCAAGACTCACTCACAGCTGTGTCGATTGCTCTTCTCCCATGAGCCACTCTACGTTTCTGAAACGGGGGTTAGATTGATAGCCAGATAGGCACCGCCTGCAACGCATGAACCTTTGCATGTTGCCGTGGAAAGCGAACTGATTTTCGTGAAATTCCTTTTGGCTAAAAAAAAGAAGCTCAAAATGGGGTGAAAAGAATGGCACTAATGGAATGCTGTGCTTTGCGGTTTGCTTCCACTGCGGCTCTACTGCTGTTGGCCTAGGAGCGAGAAACGGTGTTCTGATTTATGCGACCTTGAGCCGTCAACTAGATGATGGACGGTCTCCTTTACTCCACGACACCACACCTCCCCCGTTCTTTTCCCTCGAGACGCACAACTGGTGCTCGTGCTCTTAAAAAGCTATTGTACCAGTACTCCCTTCGGTCCTTTTTACTCTGCATATTAGAATTCTCTAAAGTCAAACTTCACAAAGTTTGACCATATTTATATGAAAAAATATCAACATCTGCCATGCTAAAATTATACAATATGAAACTTTAAGTCATGACACATCTATTGATATTGATTTCAGATTGTGAATGTTGATAATTTTTTCTATAAAGTTGGTCAAACTTTACGAGGCTTGACTTCAGTCAAATCTTGTATACGAACTAAAAAGGACCGGAGGAAGTACTATGCATACAACCACGTCAAAAAAGTACTCTCTCTGTAAACAAATGTAAGAGCATTTAGATCATTACAAAAATAAGAGCGTTTAGATCACTACTTTAATGATCTAAACGCTCTTATATTTATTTACGGAGGAAGTACCATCAATACAACTGATGTCTCATATTGCTGCATTTCGGATGCTCTTTGAACATAATAAGGCCATCTTCGACACTGAGCGCTTGTTTAGGGGCTTGAGCAATAAGGGAAATAGAATTTTCGCTTGTTTAGGAGTGAGGAACTCCTACTGGGCTACTTCATTTGCTTATGGATGTAGGCATTATTACAAGTTAATAAATTAGGGAAACATTCTCTGTGAGTGTTTTTCGAGCGAACGCTTCAAACTTGCCATGCCATACCAAGTTGAAAGTTGTCATGTCACAAAAAAAAGGCACAAAAATTGCCACGTTGCGCAGAGAAATTGCCACATATTCGATCGTGATCTGATGGCTTTGAGGGCGTTCACTAGGAGCCCTAAAAATTTGACGTTCCCTGGATATTGGGGTCCATCAAGAATTTCTACGCAGAGTCTGTGTAGGAGTCCCTCCCTCCAACGCTAACATCTACCCATAGATTCCTAGCGATTTTTAGAAAAATATGAAAGAAAATCGTAAGCATCTACTTCCCGAACGCATGTAGCTAAGGGCGTGTACAATGCATAGCCTCAAGGTGATGTCTCACATGCCATATAGGATCGGATATGACGTAAAGTAGGTTTGAATAGGGAAGCGGGATCCTCTTCAGGAGGCGGGTGCTTGAAAAGAAAAAGTGTGGTCCAATGACAAAAGCTGAAAAGGTTGAAGTAAAAAATAGAGATATATGTGTACTAGAGTCTTTATTTTCTATTTTTTAATAAGGCCTACTAGTGTTAGCTTGCATTGGAAAGGAAAAATGAATGTAAATGTCTTAAATTACTTTTTGTTATAGGGCATATGTATCCATATGCCACCATTATATGCCCTAAGCGTTTATACTAGTATAAATCCTGGGTTTTCTCTCGCATCTAGGACATCATTGGTCACCAGTGATTCTGGTGAGTGAGAGAAAAAAAGGGATGAGGTGCGGTGCCTGACGACTTGTTTTGCTTCGACGCTAGCAATTTCCCTAGTTTTGACGTGGGATCAGGGAAAAAGACTAGGATCGATGTCTTGGAGCCCATGTTAAGCGTCCGCGTTGAAGAAAGGAGTTAATGGTGTATACCGCTACTATTTTTATGTTCCCTACCCTACGTCTGGGAAATGGAAAAAAGATATAGCATTGGTATTTTCTGATAAATAAAATAGACACAATAGCTTGTAAAATATATGTACATTCATTCTGACAAAGACATGTACATACACTATATTTATGACCACCAGACGAACGTTTAAATTAATAGTCACACAAGCACCTCATATTCTTCTGGCAATAACAACTCAAATTTGAAGAAGTTTTCCTTCCATCCGCCTCAACAGCTAGGGCAAACTTTCATCTCCAGGCTTCGTCGACAAGCTTGTGGATTCACCTCTCCATTGCCTATCCATCCGATGGCCGGTGGCGGGGAGGGGAATCTCCGTGCCTCCGCTCCGGGTAGTAGTTTAGGTTAGGTTTTCTAGCCCTGGCTCTACGGATGGCGGCGCTTGTTCTTTGAGATTGTTCGTCGAACTTCGATCCTCCTCAAGTCTTTGGGGATACAGGGTTAGGGTTTCTCGTCGTGCATGTGCGATGGCGAGATATGGTGTTAGTTGCTTAAGATCTATTCAAGAGTTCAACGGCGACGACTGCAACTCCAGGGTGTTAGTCCTTAGGGATACATGCATGAAGACTTCTCGACTTTCATCAATAAGGTCAAGCCGACTTCGGTAGGAAAATGACGACAGCAACACAGAAGCAGGTTGTTCTTGCGTCGGTAATGGTCGTTCGGTGGTTTAGGAACCTCGATCAGATTTTTTTCTAAAAAAACAGAGCTAGCAAAATACAAACACACATGATACGTCTAGTACTCTAACCAACACCTAATCATACTTCGGGCCAGGCCAGGTTCGGACCGGGCTTGACAAAGCCCGAAGTCAATATCTCAAGCCCGAGCCCGGCCCAACCCGAAGCACATGAAAAATGTTGGTTTTTAATTGAATTAATCATATTCGAGGTATTAAATCAATATCAACACAAACACACCCCTCCACACACAAAAGGAAGGTAACCAACTGAGCATGCCATCCCAGGAGGGACGACATTTAGGGCTTTATTAATACAGTTTTGCTAAAGCACATCTAGATGTGCCATAAGTATTGCACATCTAAGTCCTATGTCATTAATCTTATGTTGAGATTCGTGTGAATATTTTCTTTTTCTTTCTAACTTTTTTCTTTCTACTTGATTCACTCACTTAGATGTGCAATAACTAGGACACATCTAAATGTGCCCTAAACACACCCTTATTAATACTACTCACACCATGCTATATGTACTCCGAACGCACCGTAAGGGCAGTTAGCAATCTCTAAAATTCTGCTAAAAAAGGCAATCTCTAGAAGAAATAAATAAGTTATAGTTGGTAAAAAGTCAACAAATTAAGTAAATACCTTAACCAGTGCAAGTACTAAATAAGTACACATATAACTCACAAATAAATACTCCTATGTAACTCCTTCCTCCCCCAGCCATCCTCTCACAACCTACATTTGCCACTCTATCTAACACCAGCACTCTCAAGTCTCAGCGTACCAAGAGATCAAGAGAAACATGGAGGGGATGGAAGATGAGTCCAAGAAGAAGAAGAGGAGGAGCAAGAAGCGCGCAAGGCTCAAGTCATTCCTCCACTTCCCCAAGGCCCTCAAGAAGCTCCATGGCCATGGCCGTCCGAGCGCCAACCACAACCCATCCCCTTCCCCCTCCGCCGCCGCCGCCGCTGGCTCGTTGCTCTCCGCGTGCATGCACCCCCGGACCAACTCCTTCTCCGGCGTCCGCCAACGCCACGTCGCCGCCCGTAACCGCGACGACGACGACGACGATGAAGACGGCGCTCTTGCCGTCAACTTCCGGTCTCTCAGAGTCGGCCCGACCGCCGTTCGTGACGACGACGACGACGGCGACGATGAGGACGGCTCGTCGACGCAGGAGGATGACGGTGGCTCTGAGAGCGAGGGGGGCGGCGTCTTGGCCGGGATGGCTGCCATGAAGGTGGTCTCCGGCGGGGGCTGCGGCGTGGCCGTGGTGACGCTCTCCGTCGCGCCGTACGAGGACTTCCGGCGGTCCATGCGGGAGATGGCGGACGCGCACGCGAGGGTGGAGGCCGCCCGCGTCGGCACGCGTCCGGCGCCGGCGGTGGACTGGGACTTCATGGAGGAGCTGCTGTTCTGCTACCTCCAGCTCAACGACCGGGCGGTGCACAAGGACATACTCCGGGCGTTCACCGACACCGTCGCCGCGCTCCGGAGGCGGCGCAGGGCACCGGCACTGAAGCCGAAGAGCAGGCGGACACGGCAGCCACGGAGGGGCGCCGGAGGATCCGGCATCGACGACGACGACGACGTCGACGAAGCGGTGGACTCGAACTCGTGATCGTGTCGTGCGTACATGCTGGCAAGCATGTGTGTGTAAATTTGGTAGGCACAGCAGCTCGCCGGCCGGCGCCGCCGCCGGTCATACTGCCGTCGGGCGGCTGCACATGGACTAACCGATTAACTAACGTCCCCCACCCTCTGATCTAACATAATGGTATGTGTTTAATACGCGCGGTTTATTACGAGTTTGTTTCAGCCTTTCAGAACGTTTTTCACTCCATGTGGACTGATGTGTCAAGTTGAGTCAAGGATATTAATTCAGTAATGATCTGTATTTGTTTTGGAAATTTATCTCTTTGTACTTTACTAGCACAAATGTTCGTGAGTTGCAATGGTGGAAAAATACCAGTTCTTATGAACCGTGATTTGCTGGGGAAGGAACTATGTCAAGGAAGAATGGTCGCTGATGCAAAAAAAATGCATAATTTGATCACCACAACATAAAGCTTAGAACATGGGGTATGATTCAGAGTAAATTGATCTGATTGACAATGTTTTTTTTGGAAAAAAATCGATCTATTTATCAAATATCATGGTAATATAAGGAACATCAAAAGTATTAAAAATTACATCTATGTCGTGTGTTACAACATGATAAAAATTCATCGCATTCTGACACTCGTAATCCAATTATTATTGTTTCTAAAAAAAGTATAGTCAAATATCCCTAACACGAGGAAGAATTGTTTTTTAAAGCCGACATCTTTACAAAACGTCTAATTATGTATTTTTCTGTGTGGGGGATATATGCAGTGTTCAACTTGCGGCCCATGCTTCGCTAATGAGTAAACACCATAATGCTTTTGCAAAAAAAAAAAAACAACATAAAATCGGCTTACAGTAGAGAGGGAGATTTGATCAAAATGTAATATTGATTAATTTATTGACCCACATATATGTTTAATGCGCAAGTGCATGTCCGGTCCGGCGCTCTCCCAATAATATTACTAGTAAAACGCCCGTGTGTTGCTACGGGCTATACTGTATATAAATGAATCAGACAAATTATTGATATTGAAGCTTATTTCTCTCTCATACACCAACCTCAAGGTCGACGGCAGGTTCCCGCGATCTAGTGTAGCATAAACATGACCATATTGGAGGGCTATACTATATATAACAAAGGGAATTTGTTTTCACTGTATGCATGATACACTTTACGATACACTGTATGAAAAATGTAACAATGCGACAGTCCAGGCTCCCACAAATCCAGACCATACTGGAGAGAAAAATGTCTAAACTATGAACCATGTTATCTCCAACACGCATACGCAACATAAAAACTCCACCCCATGACACACCATTATGTTTTCCTGTCGGACCCTCCCCTTCCGTTCGGTTTTCGCCGTAGTGAGACATTTCTCGCTCGAGCCCTCTCCTTTAAAACGGGATGACGCCCACCTCACCTTCGCCATCGCGGCCTCTCTCTTTCACACCATACTTCCCCACGGAGGAATTGCATTTAGACGTCGAAAAAAATTGATGGCAAGGGAGTCATGGAGGAGGGGTAGAGAACGAACCGGTGAAAGCCAAAAAACCTGCGTACAATGTTCGCTCTGCCTGGGTCATAGAGGACTCCCCCTGGTAGAGGAGTTTGGGGAGAAGAGGACGGCGACGCAAGGACACGTCGGGAGGATCGCAAGGAAGGCACGCTGGTAGAGGAGATCAGGGAGAAGAGGACGGCAGCGCGAGGACGTCGGGACTATCACGAGGAGGGCAGGCGATGGGAGGATTGCGTTCACATACACGTTAATGGGCCAGCCCAATGCTGTGATGTGATGATGTCAAAGGTGGGCGAAAGATAGGAGTGGTGGGATGAGGAGGAGTGAGGCGAGACTACCAACTAAGACATTAGTAGTGGAGATTACTGAGAGTTGGTATAACATACATAATTCTTATGGAAAATGTTAGGCTGAATCTTTGAGTAAGTGAATCTATCTTGTAAACTTCATTGTAAACCATGCATACACATTATTCTCCAGAAGAACTGGTGCAGATTATTTGAAGGAGCTTGATATCCCATAGACCATAGTCATCGTGTAGTCTTGCATTGAAAGATATAGGTATATAAGACAGTTAGCTTGGAATGAAATAGATAATTAAATGGAAAAGAGAAGAACTAAAATGAGGTAGAACTTCCAGTAGGGTCACATTTCATTACTCAGACTAACCAAAAGTTTCAGAACCGAGTTCTTAGAGCTCTTTGTCGTTGAGGTCATCATTCTTTATAATCTAAAACGTGAACATTTGGTTGGTAAAAAACATTACGTGTTAAATATGGCATGTTATAGCAAGCCTATTATCAGGACCACCTCTCATGAGCACAATCAACTCCCTAAAGCCTCTCTTTTTTATCAGATGCATAATGCACATCACTTACCGAGGAAGATTTTAGCCTCTTCAACATAACAATCGGCATCCCTTGTCAAAGCTCACACCAAAATAACTGCACGTGTAATCATTCTACCCTTTGATTGATAGACTGAAAATAAGTACACAAAAGATAGGAGCTACTTCCATTCAAACTTCTGCCACAAGCTCATTGATGGTCATGCCCCTTCAACATGTTCACACATAGTGCGTCAAAAAATAATATTCCTCCAACCAGCCCATATAAAATGCCTCAAATTGGCATGATAAAACAAATCCATATTGCATTGTTCATTGAAATGATAAAAAATGAAAACATCTCAAACCAATATGTATGTAGAACCTGAAATTATATCTTATGTATCAAAACGACTATACAACCTTCCAAAAGGCGAATGAGGACCATACATAATACAATACTTTTTTCCAGCGCTTTATGTCGCCCGCCTCCCAATGCATCCCTGGTCATCTCCATGGCCTACAGGAGGCGCTTCACCTACAACAGAATTTCGAGGTAGGAATCCCTTCTTCACCTACAGCAAAATTTTGAGATCCCAACACTATCAGGCTAATACAAAGATCCATGAGAAGTGTGAACGCACCAACGTCTCCGGGTATGCATGGACCGTACGGGTAACTCATTTGGGAAACGTAGGCGGCGATACTTGAAGGAAATATGCCCTAGAGGCAATAATAAAGTTATTATTTATTTTCTTATATCATGATAAATGTTTATTATTCATGCTAGAATTGTATTAACCGGAAACATAATACATGTGTGAATACATAGACAAACAGAGTGTCACTAGTATGCCTCTACTAGACTAGCTCGTTAATCAAAGATGGTTATGTTTCCTAACCATGAACAAAAGAGTTATTATTTGATTAACAGGATCACATCATTAGAAGAATGATGTGATTGACTTGACCCATTCCGTTAGCTTAGCACTCGATCGTTTAGTATGTTGTTATTGCTTTCTTCATAACTTATACATGTTCCTATGACTATGAGATTATGCAACTCCCGTTTACCGGAGGAACACTTTGTGTGCTACCAAACGTCACAACGTAACTGGGTGATTATAAAGGAGCTCTACAGGTGTCTCCAAAGGTGAATGTTGGGTTGGCGTATTTCGAGATTAGGATTTGTCACTCCGATTGTCGGAGAGGTATCTCTGGGCCCTCTCGGTAATGCACATCACATAAGCCTTGCAAGCATTACAACTAATAAGTTAGTTGCAAGATGATGTATTATGAAACGAGTAAAGAGACTTGCCGATGACAAGATTGAACTAGGTATTAAGATACCGACGATCGAACCTCGGGCAAGTAACATACCGATGACAAAGGGAACAACGTATGTTGTTATGCGGTCTGACCGATAAAGATCTTCGTAGAATATGTGGGAGCCAATATGAGCATCCAGGTTCCGCTATTGGTTATTGACCGGAGACGTGTCTCGGTCATGTCTACATTGTTCTCGAACCCGTAGGGTCCGCACGCTTAAGGTTTCGATGACAGTTATATTATGAGTTTATGAGTTTTGATGTACCGAAGGAGTTCGGAGTCCTGGATGAGATCGGGGACATGACGAGGAGTCTCGAAATGGTCGAGACGTAAAAATCGATATATTGGACGACTATATTCGGACATCGGAAAGGTTCTGAGTGATTCGGGTATTTTGGGAGGTACCGGGGAGTTACGGGAATACAAGGAAGAAGCAATGGGCCTTAATGGGCCTTAGTGGAAAGGACCAGGAAGTGGCGCGCGCCCCTCCCAAGCCCAGTCCGAATTGGACAAGGGGTTTGGGGCGCGGCCCCTCTCTCCGTTCCTTCCCCTCTTCCCCCCTTTCCCCCCTTCTCCTAGCCGGCCTCCTCCCCTTGATCCTTTATATACGGGGGCAGGGGGCACCCCTAGACACACAAGTTGATCCACCTGATCATATTCTTAGCCGTGTGCGGTGCCCCCTTCCACCATAATCCTCGATAATATTGTAGCGGTGCTTAGGCGAAGCCCTGCGACGGTAGAACATCAAGATCGCCACCACGCCGTCGTGCTGACGGAACTCTTCCCCGACACTTTGCCGGATCGAAGTCCGGGGATCGTCATCAATCTAAACGTGTGCTAAAACTCGGAGGTGCCGTAGTTTCGATGCTTGATCGATCGGACCGTGAAGACATACGACTACATCAACCGCGTTATGCTAATGCTTCCGCTGTCGGTCTACAAGGGTATGTAGATCACACTCTCCCCTCTCGTTGCTATGCATCACTATGATCTTGCGTGTGCGTAGGAAATTTTTTGAAATTACTACGTTCCCCAACAGTGGTATCAGAGCCAGGTTTTATGTGTTGATGTTATCTGCACAAGTAGAACACAAGTGAGTTGTGGGCGATATAAGTCATACTGCTTAGCAGCATGTCATACTTTGGTTCAGCGATATAGTTGGACGAAGCGGCCCGGACCGACATTACGCGTACGCTTACGCGAGATCGGTTTTCCCGACGTGCTTTGCACAAAGGTGGCTAGCGGGTGACAGTTTCTCCAACTTTAGTTGAACCGAGTGTGGCTACGCCCGATCCTTGCGAAGGTTAAAACAGCACCAACTTGACAAACTATCGTTGT